ATGTCCCCCCGGAACTGTCAGTCCCTTTGTTTTCTCCTCCAGATTGTTCATCCAGCCTGTCCTATCCAGACAGGCCTGAGTAGATGTTTTATAAACATTTGTTGACTTAACAAATGGTATTAATTGGATGGTTTTCGTTTCTGCTGCTGTTGCTGTGGGTCCTACTCGTGCCTGTACATTTGAGAGTCTGATACACCATTACTTTGAAATAGTATTTCACCCATCACAGGAGTCCTAGTGGTCCAATGGTAAAACTCTCAACTACTACCTGAAAGGTCATTGGTTCAAGCCTACCAGTCACTCCATGCGAGAATGATGTGTCAGTTTACATCAGTAAAACAACAATCTTCTCACCATCTTAGAGACTTTTTGGATTCCCTATGAATGTGGTGTAGTCAGATCTTGCTAACTGCAAGATCAGCAGTTTAAAACCACCAGTTGCTCCAAGGGAGAAAGATAAGGCTTTCTGCTCCTTTAAAGATTTACCCTTGAAAACCCTAATCTATCCTGTAGGGTTGCTATGAGTTGAACTGCCTTGATAGCAGTGAGTTTTTGAGTTTGTATGAATGTAGAATGTGGATGCCAGTATGCAGCACTTACAGGAACATTAGTAGATCCTATCCGCTGCCTCATTTCACTTATCTATACCGTCATTGTCTTTCAAAATTTTTGGGTTTTTTTTTTTTTAGTAATTTTGGGGTTTTTTTTATTGAGGTATAATCTACAAACCATACAACTAACCCACCTAAAGAATGCAATGTAGTGGTTGTCAGAATGTTCACAGAGTTGTACAGCCATCACAATAATTTCAGAACAAAGGAAGAAGTATTTTAATATGCAGCTATCACATCAGCAATAAAAGGATTTTAAGGGAAAACACTATGTTTTTCCTGTATAATTTCACAGAGTTAATTATAGAGAGACGAGCCAACTTCTTTAACCTAGTCTCTTCAAAGTCAAAAGCCCAAAGCATCTGATCATTGTTATTGTTACAATTAGGGTTTACCAAGTGGTGAGGGATGCTAATAAATCTAAATGACTTTTTGCTGTGGCATGTCTAGTCGTATAGGGAGGTGGACGTGACTTTTGCTGGAAGTTCCTTTTAGAGGTCCCATAAACCGTGCTTCTATTACCTGTGCCCAAAGATCTGAATGGAAGTGCTTGCACATGATGGGCATGCTACAAATGTGTAGAATAAATTAGGGTTTTATACAAGACAGCAGGAATTGGAAGTGAGCATGCAAGGCTATCATGGATACTATAGTGTGTCACCTCATCTCTAACCTGAATATCTAGAATCTCTACAGTTCTTTACATAATAGAATGATGTTTGTTTGTGTGTGTTTGAAATGAATTTGTTTGTCACTAAAAACTCCCAAGTCCATTTCAGTTTTACTTTTCCTCCCCCCCTTTTTTTTTTGACCACTATATGGTTTGAGGGATAAGGAATCTGTAAGAATTAAAAAAATTTATTTTTAAATAAAGTTTTACTGCAACATAGTCCAAATATCATACAATTCAGTAGTTCAATCATATCCAGAAAAGTTGTACAGTAATTACCACAGTCACTTTTAGGACATTTCTTCTTTCTTGTACTCCTTGTTATCAGCTCCCATTTCTCTCCAATTTCCCCTGCCATACCAGGAACTACCAATCCATTTATTATCTCTATAGA